CAGAGCAAGAGGGAGGGGCTCATGGTCGCATCACTGAACTCTGGCCCTGTGGGCAGCCTCTGCCCTCTGGCCTCGCTGACAGGCGGCCCAGTTAGGAGCCGGCTCCAGTGCGGGGGCACGATTCGGGCCTCTCCCTGCCACCTCCCAGCCCAGCCCCAGTGACCCTCTGCTGGCCCCGCCAGGTGGACCCGGTCGGCGCCCTCTGACCCCTCAGTCACCCCTCTCTGACGGGCATGGACCTGTCCATGGGCTAAGCCTGGCACCTGGGCGGGCGTCATTTCCTGCTGGGCTCTGCGTGTTCGGGACCCTGGGCACGGGGCAGCCCTGCCCGGCCTCCTGGCCTGAGGCTGATGGCTCAGGGCCCGCAGCGCCGACCCAAGGGCCTGACCTTATGAAAAACACACACACACCTTCCCAGACGCAGGCGTGACCCGGGGAGATGGAGCGGCTGTGGTCTGAGCCTCGTGGGCAGGCGCTGTCCGCGGGTGTCCACAGTCACACACCTCCACGCCGGCCCTTTCTCCCCGGCCTGCTCCCCCTGCCCGCCTCTGACAATGTGGATTCAGCTCAGGGGGGCCTGGGGCCGGTGCCCTCCAGTGGGCGCTCAGCCCAGGGGTCAGGGGAACCTGAGAGGGAAACTGAGGCAGAAGCCTGGTTGCTGAGACCAGAGCCAACCCAGAGCAGGACCCCCCTCCCGTGGGGGCAAGGCGTCCCCTCCCCCATCTGTTGAGCACCCAGCTGACATCTAGCAGGGAAGGGTGATCCGCCAGCAAGAGTGCTGCTGGGCGAGGGGCGTGGGCAGTGTCTGATGGGACGGGCGGTCAGATGCGTCCCAGGTCAGGTGGCATCTGAGCAAAGACCCGACGGGAGCGGGGAGCAGGCCTGCAAGGGAGAGCGCGCAGGCAGAAGGAACAGCCTGCACGGAGGCCCTGAGGGGACATCCACTCGTTGGAGAAACAGGGAGGCCAGTGCAGCTGGAGTGGATGGGTGACCGGCGGGGACGCGGGGACGCGGAGAGCTGGGCCCCCACACAGGGCCTCGCTGGCCATCGGAAGGACCCCTCCTGGAATGTTCTGAGGGGGGATGGACATGCTCTGACTTCCATTTTAAAAGAACCTCTTGGCGGCTGGTTTGGAGAGAGACTGAGGAGGGGGAAGAGGAAGGGCCGAGAGCCGCTGGCACCCCCTCGCGCCGGATGGGACACGGGTGAGAGAGAGGCATCAGGAAGGACCCGCATCCTGCAGCGAGGTGGGAGGGTGGGGCCTGAGGCCCTGTGACACAGAGAGGCTGAGCGAGGAGGAGCCGCTGCAGCCCCAGCAGGACTCCCGCTGCGTCAGCAGGTTGCCGGGAGCCCAGGCCGGGCAGGCGGTGGAGGAGCCGGGGTTTCGGCAGCTGGCCTTGCGCCGTGAGCCTCGGGGTCCGTGTCTGGGGCTTTCCAGGTGCTGGGAACCCGGACGCAGAGCCGCTGGGGACTCTGGAGGGAGCAGCGGTGACCCGGCCACAGGACAGCACCCGCAGGACCTTCCCTTGCTGTCATTCTTTTTTTTTTTGGGGGGGGGGGTATTTTTTATTCATTCATTTGACAACTTTTACAGGAGCTTGCTCTTTTTTTTTTTTAAATATATTTTATTGATTTTTCACAGAGAGGAAGGGAGAGGGATAGAGAGTTAAAAAAATAGATGAGAGAGAGAAACATCGATCAGCTGCCTCCTGCACACCTCTACTGGGTATGTGCCTGCAACCAAGGTACATGCCCTTGACCAGAATCGAACCTGAGACCCTTGAGTCCGCAGGCCGACGCTCTATCCACTGAACCAAACCGGCTAGGGCTGCTCTTTTTTTATTGTGGGAAAACACACACATGAAATTGACCACCTTTCCCATCGTCAGGCGCACAGGTCAGCAGCGTCGGCACAGTCACGGTGTCGTGTGCCGTCACCACCATCGCCGCCAGGACCTTCCATCTTCCCAGCTGAGACTCCGTCCCGTTAAACAGGGACGTCCCCTCCCGCCCCCCGCCCTCCATCCGCTCTTTGTTGTCTCTCGGGGGCCCACATGTGAGTGGGACTACAGGGCCGGCCCTTCCTTCTCATGCCTGGTGGTTCTCGTGTTTATTTCTGTTCTCGCTCCACCTGCTGTCGCTACCCAGGACCCGCCGGACCGATTCCTGCCCCCCCCCCACCCCTGCTCCCCGTCCTCAGCCCCCAGGGCAGCCTGTGTCTCTTCCAGAGCCTGAGCCTCCGGAAGCAGGCGTTCGTCCTGGAGGTGCTGTCCGGCTGCCTGGAGTACCGGCAGCTGCTGGCGGTCGTGGTGGACGCCTTCTACGCGCAGGAGGGCCGGCTCTGCCTGTGGGCCGACTACAACCGCTTCCTGGGTAAGCGCCCAGCCTGCTCACCCCCAGAGGGTGACACAGTGCCCTCTGGGGACCCTCGCCGCCCAGCGGGGGGGAGTCCCAATGGCACCGAGGCCCTGCGTCCCTCGGGACTGACCAGCGGAGACCCCAAGCGAGCGCTCGTCCCTGAGCGAGCGTGGGCAAGCGCTTTAAATTAAGAACTTCCCGTCTGGGACGCGGTCCCACTACCATTGCGTCCTGGTGACAGCTTTCGCCCGGGGCACGGGGAGCTTTGGCCTTTGGTTGCGCACTGGCACCCGGCAGTGCCTCCGGCTGACTCCCCAAGGTCAATGCCCCTCCCCTCCCACCCTCCACCACCCC